AAATCACATGTTTTCATGCCTAGGAAAAGAAGATAGAACGGCAAACGCTCAACTTACTGGTGAAGCAAGAAAATCGCAGAATTGAGGAGCCAATGTCGCAAACACAGACGCCTTTATCAAAGAACCAGAAACAGACTAGAGGCCAGACAAAGGTACTCCGAGTACCAGCTTGCAAGAAAGACAATGTAAGATACTATTAGGAACAGTAAAAAGCAGTACTGGCAGACTTGCACCAACTGCCAACAGTGTGAATACTATGAGACATATCGTGGATACGCTATTTCCGACGCATCCAGAACGCATAGATCAAGTATACTTCAAGCTTATAGAAGATGTACCGTTATTTACCCAGAAGAAACTGGAGCTAGCAGCCAGATCGCTTAAAAACGGAAAAGCTCCTAGACCAGATGGTATACTGGTAGAATTTATTAAGATAGTGGTGGCAAAACACCAACAGCTGCTTTTAAACCTATACAATGCATCTTTGCGCAAGGGGTTGTTCCCAACCCCTAGAAAAACGCACAGCTGGTACTGATCAATGAAGGCAAAGGGAAGCCCAACTCTTTGTTATCTCTCAGGCCGTAATTCATACTGGATACGCCTGAAAAGTTATTCAAAAAGCTACTCAAAGCCCTTCTTCTACAGGCCATACAAAACGCGGGAGACTTATCCGACAAGCAGTAGGGACTTAAAAACGGAAGGTCTACCATAGGAGCAGTAGAAGAAGTAATAAAAGCAGTTTAGAACTCTCAAGACATATGCCATGGAGCAAGACCCCTGGTTCTTCTGGTGACCTTGGATGTAAAGAACGCTTTGAACTCACCAAGATAGAAAGACATGCTTCACGCTCTGAAGTACACATTTAGAACACCAGACTATCACTTGAGAGTATTAAGAGATTAGCTCAAGGACCACTTATTACCTTTACGACAACAAAAGGCGAAACAAAGGGGAAAATAACTGCAGGGGCATTCCAGGGTTTCATACTTGGATCCGATCTCTGTAACGTATCATACGATAGACTCCTTTGCCAGGAAATGCCAGGGCGGGACATTCTTGGTAGGATACGCAGATGATGGTGCTGTATTGATCGTAGTAATGCACGGTGGAACTTGTCCAGATACGATTTAACCAGGTTATGCAGAGAGTAGCTTCGTGGATGGATAACCACAGACTTAAAGTTGCAGCAAGGAAGACGGAGATAGTACTATTGACGAGAAAAGAGTTCGATACCATCATCCCCTTCAAGGTACAAGAAGAAGAAGTAATGACAAAGGATGCCGTGAAATACCTAAGGGTGACGCTAGATAGAAAACTAACATTTTGGAGTCTTTTTAGGCAAGCAGCAGACAAAGCGGTGGCAAGAGTAGCGGCATTAGGCCGAATCATGCCGATCGTTAGAGGTCTTAATCCTGCACAACACAGGCTCCTTATGTCTACGGCCCAGTCTATTATATGGTACGGGGCTAGAATATGGGGAGATGAGATGAATGTGGAAAAAAAGAAAGTGAAAATCGGCCAAGTTCAAAGAATAGAAGCCTCAAGGATAGCCTGCACCTATCACACAGTCTCAGAGTCTGCTACATTGGTGATAGCGGGCGTAATCCCCATTGACTTTCTTGCGAGGAAGAGACGATTGAAGCACCTTATGGAGTATGACCTAGAAAGAATGGATAAAACGCCTGACAAAAGATGTCAAGAAATGGACAGAATGGAAACATGGGAAAGTAAATTACTACCTTACCCAATTCTTCACAAACTACATGTTTTTCTGCTCTTACCTCAACAAGATGCGGAAAACACAGACGGCTGCTTGCAAGTACTGCGGCTTTGACAAAGATTACGCAGAACACTCGTTTTTCGACTGCATCAAGTGGCAAGCCGAGCGAATCGTGCTGCAGGAAAGGATCAAAACCTTCAATCTCGAGAACATCATAGATAAAATGCTACTTATTAAAGAAAGGTGGGCTGCAGTAGCCCTATACATACATATAGTTCTCTGGGCTAAGAAGAAGATGTTTTTCTGGATGACTGAGTGGAGGTGGTGTGAGCGTTGATCCAGTGCCATCGAGAGGGTGTGGGGTTTTGTTTTTTGCTGCGGTGCCTTGGAGGTTCAGGGGGGGTTGTGGCAGGGCCTGGGGGGGCCACTGGGGCGTGGCCACAGGGTGATTGGTCAGCAGAATGGGGGCCTGCATAGGTGCTTAAGCGCGTGCAGACTCCCTTAAACTACTTCGCTCTATCAGAGTTTTACTGATCAGCAGCTTTGGCCTGGTGGCCCATGCTTTTGGGTGCTTTGCTTCCACTTTTTTTTTTTTTTGCTGTGCTTCTGGGGTGTGGTCGTGGGGTGATTGGAGTGTGGTATAAGGGCTTGTGTGGGTGCTTGAATACGGGCAAGCTCCTGACTGCTTTGCTATATCACCGTCTGACCGATAAGCGGCTGTACCTCGGTGGCCTGGGTCTCTGCCCCTTAGGCTCTGCCGTAGGTGCGCTCCTTGCTCCTTTGTTGAGGGTAACTGGGTTTGGCCTCGCGCTAAAAAGCATCTGCCTATAATATTGCTCTATCCTTTTAAGTGAACAGAGAAAAGCAGCTCAGATGCATGACAAAAACTAGAAAATATCTTAGAGGGCGCAAAAGTTACAAGACAAATTGGTAACGAAACACTGAAAAAAGCCAGAACCAGGGGCTTAGCCTCCGTGGCCCCACCTTAAAGTGTAAATGCGAGAGCAGATTCCAAGTCAGGTGCCTCAGGAAGAAGGTCTTGCCAAATTAGTGGGTATGGTCATAACGAGTCCCACACAGTGAAGGGTTCGGTTGTTACACCCTTCTATCGTGCATAAAGGCATTTTGGATGACCTTGGAAAAAAAAATGAGAATAAAGACAATGATAACTATAATCAAGTCAATAACATTAACAATGGTAATATTTAAAATGATGACAGTGTTTATGACAAGACTTATAATATGTTGATGTTGTTGCTAATAAAGATTAAAACTACAATAATGATAAACATAATAAGGATAATCCTGGTAATATTAACGATGATGCTAATGATAATTATGGTGATAGTAACAATAATTGGGATGATAGTAATAATAATAATAAGAACTATGTTAATGATAATAATAATGAATATAGAAATGTTAATGATGATAATGAGAATGATAACGATCCTGACAATAATAATGAAATTGACAACGATATTAAAAGAAATTATAATAATGAAGGTAAAGACTGGTATCGCAAAAGTGATTAAAGCAATAATGCAATTATTAACGTTAATTGTAGTAATGATGTTAAGAATATTAAAATATATAATAATAGACTAGTCGTTGT